ACGAATAAGAAGAAGAATAAGAAGAATAATAATAAGAATAATAAGAATACTAAGAATAATAAGAATAATAATAAGAATAATAATAATAAGAAGAATAAGAAGAATAAGAATAATAAGAAGAAGAAGACGAAGAATAATAAGAATACGAAGAATAATAAGAAGAATAAGAATAATAAGAATAATAAGAATAATAAGAAGAATAAGAAGAAGAAGAAGAAGACGAAGAATAATAATAATAATAATAATAAGAAGAATAAGAAGAATAAGCATAATAATAAGAATAATAATAATAAGAATAAGAAAAATAATAAGAAGAAGACGAATAATAATAAGAAGAAGAAGAAGAATAATAATAATAATAATAATAAGAAGAAGAAGAATAATAATAAGAAGAAGAAGAAGAATAATAAGAATAATAATAAGAGGAGAAGGAGGAGGAGGAGGAGGAGGAGGAGGAGGAGGCGGAGGAGGCGGAGGAGGAGGAGGAGGGAGAGGAGGGAGAGGAGGGGAGGGGGAGGGAGGAGGGAGGGAGGGAGGGAGGGAGGGGGGGAGGGAGGGGAGGTGGAGGAGGAGGAGGAGGAGGAGGAGGAGGAGGAGGAGGAGGAGGAGGAGGAGGAGGAGGAGGAGGAGGAGAGGAGGAGGATCAGCATGCCCCCTGGCTTGCCAGCCCAGACCATCTACCTACTCTGCGTTTTCTTAATAAAGCGTGGAGGAAAAGGTTCCCATACCCCATACCTCTACCTCCTCGCACGTTTTCGCCTTTTTGGGCCTCCTGGGGGGCCCTCGTCGCCACCGCTGGATTCGCTTCGAAATTCTGGTCAGAACGCACCCGGGGAGAGGTCCGGGGATTAGCGGTATCGGTACTCTGGGTTTCTTAATAAAGCGTGGGGGGGTTCTCCCCGATTGGGGTCAACCTCGCCTCGTCGTCGCGCCGCGACGGGTGTCGGAGCGCCTTCGGCGCGCGGTGGCTGCCCGCGACGGGGGTCCGTGTGGGGCTGTCGGCGGGGGATGACGCCCCCCCCGACGCTTCTTAAGAAACTCGGAGTGCCCCTCTGATTGGCTCAATGATCCCCTCAGCTCCTGCGGGCGCACCCCGAAGCGTGTCGTCGCTTTTTTTGGGCTCGTCACTCTTGCGGGGCAGGGATCAATCAGCTCGAGGCTGGCTACAGACCCCGTGGCTCACCACCCACCAAACCACCCCAACCCAACCCGAAGGCTCAAATTTACCTTCGATTTCCAGTGGAAAAAACACACATGTGGAACCTATCCCCCCCTAACCCGAAATTCGGGTCTTCGGGTTGGGTTGGGGTGGTCTGGTAGGTCGTCAGTGGCGCCGCAAGAGATCACGATCACGACGGGCGGTTCCGGCCGCCCTGTTTTGGTGTTATGCTCGCGCTGCCTTCTGTTCCTCGTGAGCAGGGTGAGGGCAGGGGCCCGGGCGCGCTCGAGCGCGGGACCGGCCGCGGGGCCGCGGAGGCGCAGCACGCCTTCCAGCTGAGGGACATCGGCGTCAACCAAAGCGTATTTCGAGACTACTCTTAAGTCGGGCCTGTCCCTCAACAGGGGGAATATTCAAAAATAGTTAAAAATATTCGGGGGGCGACTTTTTGCATTTTTTTTGGCATTTGGGGGGGATTTTTGAGTATCCAATCGAAGGCCCCCCCAAAGTCTGGGACTTGGGTCGTCATATCCCCCGCTATTCTCCTACAGTGAGCAGCTTGAATAAGGAACATGTGCTTTTCAAAACGGGCTGGGTCATTCCTTAGGTTCGCATGCGTTATTTATCGTTCCAGACGCGTTGTTGATGTTGATGTTGATGTTGATGTTGATGTTGATGTTGATGTTGATGTTGTGGTTGTGGTTGTGGTTGTGGTTGTTGTTGTTGTTGTTGTTGTTGTTGTTGTTGTTGTTGTTGTTGTTGTTGTTGTTGTTTGTTGAACATTATTTATTCTAAAGAATAATTATTGTTGGGCCCCCTGGTGCGCGCCCCCCCTGCGCCGCCTAGGCCGCAGCTACATTTTCATCATTTTCGTGAGGAAGCCTCAGGTAAAACGATGTGATCCAGATCCGGTTGTTTTGTTGTAATCCGTTTTCCCTTGCAAAAAACACTATAAAATGACATTTCTTGTTCTAATATAATCAAATTCAAGAATCCCTTGCAAAAAATAAGGTAAAGTGGACATTCGCGCGCGCAAGACGAAATCCTTCCAAAAGCTTAGTGTTCGGAGCGATTTCAACATAAAAACATCAAAAAACTAATGGTTTTTCAACAAAAAATGTCAAAATCTCATCCCGCGCGCTCTTGCGGATTCGTAGGAAAACCAACACTTTTCAAACATTTCTGTCAAACGGGCTTTTGCGAGCAACTTTTTCGAACTTCTGCGACAACGGTTGCGCACCTGCCAGGGCCATCATCCCTGTCAAAAAATACCATGCGGGACACATTCGTTTTTTCTTCGCGCGCGCACGCCGAAATCTCCAAAAACCATTGGGTTCTGTGGGTGTGTACCCCACGCCAGTGTAGTAGCCACGGTCGTCCGCACGCCACGAAGTGAAGTGTCCCAACGTCATAGGGCGGGAAGCTGGGTTTGGGTGGTCGCGAAGAGTCGTTTTGATATTTGGTAGAGCTTGTAATGCCCCCCCACGAAGTGGGGGTATTGCCTGGTGTCGTATGAAAACCCTGGCACTGGGGAGAACACCACGCGTTCGGGTAAAATGATTGTTGTTGTTGTTGTTGTTGTTGAATTCTCATTTCTGAATAATTATTGTTGATCCCCCCCACCGGTGCTTACTGTTTTTCCTCAATCAAAGTGTGCCCCTCGACGCTCGCACCCTGTTTTTTGACAGGGAAAGTCTTCCTGCTCAAACTGGCCCCCTGGCCCCCGGGTTACAACAACAACGGCTCCCGCCTGAGACTTCCCCGCTCCCGCCCGAGACTTCCTCGCATTTTATTCAGGAATCGCGCTCTCGCTTGGGACTTCCTTACAATTTATGCAGGAATCGCTCTCCCGGCGCTCTGGAGTCGCGCTCTCGCTGGAGACTTGCTTGCAACTTACTGAAGAATGGCCTTGCGTTGGAATTTCTTGCAATTTGCCCAAGCGCCGCGCTCCCGACACCCAGGCACCCAGGAGTCGCGCCCGTTGTGGCCCCATGTGCATGCCCTTCGTGGCCCCGCTGTCGCCATTTGTGTCCCCCTCACTGTCCTACGTGGCCCAGTTGCTACCCTCAGTGGCCCCATAGTTGCCTTCTGTGGCCCCGCACTTATGTGCACTTCGTGGCCCCCTGTCGTTCGCGCTCTTCGTGGGCCCATACGCATTCCCTTCGTGTCCCCGCTGCCGCCCTTCGTGGCCTACTTCGTGTCCTTGTGGCCCTGCTGTCGTTCTCTCTCGCTCTCGCTTTCGCTCGTCGTCGCCGTCGTCGTCGTCGCCGTCGTCTTCGACGTCGTCGTCGTCGTCGTCGTCGTCGTCGTCGTCGTCGTCGTCGTGGTCGGTCCCCTGTCCGTCCCTCTTGGGGTCGGGTCGACGGTCCGCGGCCGCCCCGCCGATCAGCGCTGCCGCTGGCCAGGCCGACGGTCCGCGGCCGCCCCGCCGCTTGCCGGGTCCCGGCCTGCAGGGAAGAAAGGTATACCCCCCAAAAGGGGTTCGATCGAAGACGAAGAGGGCGGGTATCGAGGGTTTGGGAAATACGCGTGATTGGACACTCGAGCATATAAGGGCGAACAGTCTTAACATGATTGTTGTTGTTGTTGTTGTTGTTGTTGTTGTTGTAGTTGTTGTTGTTGTTGTTATTGTTGTGTTGTAATTGTTCTTTTTTTTTTATGGTTGTTGTGGTTTGTGGTGGTTGGTTGTAGTTGTTGTTGTCATGTTGTTGTTGTCTCGTCGTGTTGTGTTGTGGTTGTTGTGGTTGTGTTTGTTTTTTTTTTTCTGGTTGTAGTTGTTGTTGTCAGTGTTGTTGTTGTTGTCGTTGTTGTTGTTGTTGTGTTTGTTGATGATGATGATGTTGTTGTTGTGTGTTGTGTTGTGTTGTTGTTGTCTGTCGTCGTCGTCGTTCGTCGTCGTTGTTATGTGTTGTTGTTGTTGGTGGTGTTGTTGTTGCTGGTTGCTGTTGCTGTTGCTGTTGTTGTTGTTGTTGTTGTGTTGTGTTGTTGCTAGCTGCTGCTGCTGCCGCTGCTGTTTGTTGAACATTATTTATTCTAAAGAATAATTATTGTTGGCCCCCCTGGTGCGCGCCCCCCCTGCGCTGCCTAGGCCGCAGCTACATTTTCATCATTTTCGTGAGGAAGCCTCAGAAAAGAGGGTGTGTACAGGATCCGGTTGTTTTGTTGTAACCCGCTTTCCCTTGCAAAAAACAATAGAAAATGACATTTCTTGTTCTAATATAATCAAATTTCAAGAATCCCTTGCAAAAAATAGGTAAAGTGGACATTCGCGCGCGCAAGACGAAATCCTTCCAAAAGCTTAGTGTTCGGAGCGATTTTAACATAAAAACATCAAAAAACCAATGGTTTTTCAACAAAAAAATGTCACAATCTCATCCCGCGCGCTCTTGCGGATTCGTAGGAAAACCAACACTTTTTAAACATTTCTGTCAAACGGGCTTTTGCGAGCAACTTTTTCGAACTTCTGCGACAACGGTTGCGCACCTGCCAGGGCCATCATCCCTGTCAAATATTACCATGCGGGACACATTCGTTTTTTCTTCGCGCGCGCACGCCGTCGTCGTCGGCCGCGGGGCCCTGAATAGTAGCCACGGTCGTCCGCATGCCACGAAGTGAAGTGTCCGAACGTATAGGGCGGGAAGCTGGGTGTGGGTGGTGGCGAAGAGTCGTTTGGAAATTTGGTAGAGCTTGAACCGGCCCCACCACAAAGTGGGGGTATTGCCCGCCTCCTATGAAAACCCTGGCACTGGTGAGAACGGAGTGTCCCCACGTGCTAGTAATTGTTGTTGTTGTTGTTGTTGTTGTTGTTGTTGTTGTTGTTGTGGTTGTTGTTGTCGTCGTCGTCGTCGTCGTCGTCGTCGTCGTCGTCGTCTTCATCATTATGATTCCTTCGTTCCAGGACATCTCCGTTGCCATCCTGGCCGGCGAGCTCGTGGCCGTGGTGGGGCCGACTGGCAGCGGCAAGACGAGCCTGCTGATGGCCATCCTGGGCGACCAGGGGCAGCGTCACGAGGAAAGGTTCCCGATACCGCCATCCTCGAAGAAACGTAAGCATGATTCAGCCGCATTGATGAACGACGAATCCAGTTTCTATACGTACTCGGCTCGCTCCGGCCTCATTTTCGGAGGTTCCTTCCCCGATCCATGGATTTGGCGCCAACGCGCCAAACCCACGGATCCCTGATCCATGTTGGCACGTGCCCGATAGCCTTGCTTCGTCCTCGCCTTCTTGGGCCTCTTGGGAGGCCCTCGTCGCCACCGCTGGACTCGCCTCGGAATCCTGGTCGGAACGCACTCCAGGAGAGGTCTGGAGAGTATCATTTAGGGGGGGATGGGCCCAGGGGGGGATCATGGTCCCTGAATCGCCCATCGATCGCCGTTTGGGGCCTGGTAACCTACCCCGCCCAGGGGCGTCCAGAGTCGGCACCTGAGGCCTATCGCCGATGTATCGCCGATGGCTGGACGATGTGCGGTGGAGACCCATGCGAATAACCCCCCTGCTTGCCTCCATTTTTCCCGGAAAGGGCATAAGCCCAGGGTTCTCTTTTAGTTGGTTTACTTGCGGGTTTGACTTGAGGTGGGCTGGCGATTTTTTTTGCGATATATATATATATATATATATATATATATATATATATATCGAGGTCGAGGTGGGCCGGCGAATTAGAACTTTGAGGATGTCCCTAGCGAAATGCTGTTTTTTTCAGAAGTTGTTGAGGATCGAGCGAAACGCTTGTTTTGTGTTATAGATTGTCATCTCCTGGGGGCCAGAATTCAGAGGATCTCTGAAGTGAAACGTGCCCAGGTCTTGAGGATGTCTCGAGCGAGACGCTTGGTTTCACGCCTCCAGGTTGCCCAGGCAGAGGTCTAGCGCCAGGATTTGTTGACGATGGCTCGAGCGAGACGCTTGGTTTCACGCGTCCTCGTCGCCCAGCCGGATTTCTAGCATGAGGATGTGTTGAGGAAGCCTCGATCGAGACGCTTGTTTGCACGTGTCCAGGTTGCCCAGGCGGATGCCTAGCATGAGGATGTGTTGAGAATGTCTCGAGAGTTACGCTTGTTTTCACGTGTCCAGGTCGCCCAGGCGGATGTCTAACATGAAGATGTGTTGAGGATGTCTCGAGCGAGAAGTTTGCTTTCACGTGTACAGGTCACCCAGGCGGATGTCTAGAATGAGGAGGTGTTGAAACCGTCTCGAGCGAAACGCTTGTTGTCACGTGCCCAGGTCACCCAGGCGGACGTCTCACATGAAGATGTGTTGAGGATGTCTCGAGCGAACCACTTGTTTTCACGTGTCTAGTTCACCCAGGCGGATGTCCAGCATGAGAAGGTGTTGAGGCTGTGTTGAGCGAAGCGCTTGTTTTCACGTGTCCAGGTCGCTCAGGTGGAGTCCTAGCAAGAGGAATTTGGCAGGATGTCTCGAGCGAAACGCTTGTCCCCAGCACGTTCCGTAGCGCGTCCCCTTGGCACGTCTCGCGGTGGCCCTGGGAGCGCGGACACAGCGTAATTCACGAGGGAGCGCGGCCCTGGGAGCGCGGACGCAGCGTAGTTTACGAGGGATCGTGGCCCAGGGAGAGCGGACGCAGCGTAATTCACAAGGTATCGTGGCCCTGTGAGCGCAATCGGGGCATGGCACATCGCAATTCAGCACGGCGCAGAACAGCACAGTCTTTGGCACGGTACATCAAGATCGATACACTCAGCATTGCAACCTGGCACGTTCCCTGGCACGTTCCGTGGGGCGTCCCTTGGCGAGTCCCCCTGGCACGTCGCTTGGCGCGTCCCTTGGCACATCCCGTGGCACATCCATTGGCACGTTCCGTAGCGCGTCCCCTTGGCACGTCCCGCGGTGCGACCCCATGGCACGTCCCCTGGCACGTCGCCTGGCGCGTCCCTTGGGACGTTTCGCGGCGCGTCCTCTTGGCATGTCCCCCTGTCAATTAGCTCTGGGGCAGCTACTACGTGTTCAGGCAGCTCGAGCTTAAGATTCAGATCAGTTCGGTCAGGACTCGGATGCAAAGGAGGACTCGATCCACGACGCTATAGAGTATAGAGCACAATCGCGGCATGGCGCATCGCAATTCAGCACGGTACAGCAAAGCACAGCCCTTGGCAGGGTCCATCAAGATCGATACACTCAGCATTGCATTTGCCCGTCACCCAATCAGGTGTCTCTGAAAAAGCTGCCATGCGATACATTTCTATATTCCTTTGCGGGTTCGTGGGTCGATCATGCTTTTTTTGTGTGTTGTGTGTGTGTGTGTGTGTGTGTGTGGTGTTTCTTGGGTTTCGATGGTCTTGCGATGGAATGCGTGACGCTCCTAAACCAAACATCGATGGAC